ATGATGGTCACGACATCATTTCATATTTTAATTTTAATTTTCTTTCTACAAATCCAAATAACTTGAAATTTTAGGCATGTATTATTCTCATTAAGGAGCACCTAATAAAAATATTCTAAAAATAAATTGATAAAAATACACTCGAAACGTTTTAGGGGTATTTTGGTTAATTTATTTATTGAAAATTGTTTTTTTGATATTTTTATTAGATTTTCCTATTTTTGAAAAATACAGGCCTAAAATTTCAAATTATTTAGATTTATAGAAAAAATATTAAAATTAAAATACAAAATGAGGTTGTGATCGTCAGGTCAGACAAATTTTTATAGTATTTTGCTCCCAACTCATTCCCATCCAAAGTCCATCATAAGGCCATGCTTATCCAGTAGTATTTAAATTTTTCTACAAATCAAATCTATCTAAGATTTAGGGAATCTGTATATATAACCAACTCGTATCTAAATAATATATTAAAAAATATTTTTTTAAAAAATAAAATCATGAAAATACCCTTGACATATTTATCAGGGTAAGTATTTGAATTTTTTTTTATATTTTATTCAATGCGCCTTAATGAGGCATGCACACCAACAAAATCTCAGGTCAATAAAATTATTAGAAAAATGCATTAAAATTAAAAAAACGTTATTAGATAATCTTGATGGTCTAATGGATTTTGAATAGTGACGAGACATGCATAAAATACTGTAGAAATTAATTCATGAGTATTTACACACACATATATGTATATATAGTGTGGTTTGTATAAGGTTGCAATATTAAACAAGCAAATAAACAAGCAAAGTAAGGCACACCTCCAATCTTTCGCAAAGATGCAATTTTGCTATAAAAAATACTTAGGATGACGTGAGAATTTATTTTTATATCTAATTATAAAATTTACACTCCAAAAATGGTTCAAATCAAAAATATCTATAAACGAATGAAAATCTTGAAAATGGACAGTCCATATAATATGTTACAAGATGTACTAGTTTTGGGACTTAAAATCATTCTTTTCTCCATAACTATGCAAATCGCTGTCAAAATGATCAATTAGATGTTTTTCTAAAAAGGAATTTTTTAGGTGCCCCTTAATTCTACATTTTAGGGTGTCAACCTTTTATATATGGGTGCGGTTTGTATAGAGCCTATTAAACAATCAAATTAGAGCCTACCTTAAATAGTGTCAAGAAATGTAGTTTCAATACCGCAAATGTTTTTGATAGCCTTAAAATATATTTTTATCTTTATTTATAAAATTTAAAGGTTAAAAAATAGTGTAGATCAAGAGATCTATAAAAATCTTGAAAATTGACGGTCCAAAAATGCGTTACAAAATACACTATTTCCAAAACTTGAAATCTATTTTTTTTTTTTTCATGTCCATGCATCTTGATGTTGAGATGATCAATTTGGGGATATTTGAGCATCAAAACAACCTTTTCTAATAAAATTTTTGAGGTAGGCTTTGATTTGATTGTTTAGAGCCTCGACTCTATATAAAAATTTCTCTTTATATAAATATATACACTCACACACGTCATAATTTTGTGTTTGGGCCGTTCACATGTTGTAAGTTTAAACCATAATTTTGTGCCCATGAAGGGGCTCATTCAAACGGTTACCAATAGTATACGCTAACCAATGTAACATGGCATATTCTGGTCCATGCTTAAATTTTTTGGTTGTTTGATTTGAAATAGGATGGTCGGAGATGTGTCATTGACTGGAATGAAAGTTTAAAAAAACAAAATTTCTCAAATGTTGGAATTCGCTTCAATCTAATGGAGAATAATCGTAACTTACTAGTACCAAAAATAAATATACAATCCCTTTTAATAATTCCGTATGAATGTAAAGGAAGGTGCTTCAATACAACAATCTATCTTGTTCCCTCTCTCTTTCTGCGCACGTGACAGGCTCCTTATCTTCATTAGTGTGCAACTCCGGTATCTACTGTGCCATAAGTGGTGAATATACGAGGGGAAACGTTTCTATTTCTACAGTATAGAAGATCTATGCTTCCCCGAGCATCTAGCTGTCTAATTTTGATCAAGAGAGCTACTCATCGTTTGATCTTAGATCTAACGTCTCAAAGTATTTTAGTTTTAGTTTTTTTATAAAAATTGTATGAATATGAATTTGGTACGTACCATATTCTCATTGGGGTTCACCTATAAAAAAAATATTAAAAATAATTTGTTGGTAAAATAATGATCAAAATACCCCTTGAATCTTTTAAGGGTATTTTGGTCATTTTATTTTATTGAAAATATTTTGTTTATATTTTTCGCTGGTGCAAGTTTAATAGAGGATTGGACGTACAAAATTGTGTCAAAATAGTTTATAGAAAAAAAAAAAAAAAAAAAAAGACGTGTGGAGATGTGACATTGTGATTGAGGCAATCTTAAAGCTCCATTCAGAATGGAAGGTTGGATAAGGGGAGTATATAAGTTTTATGTTGTAGGGAAAGCATAGAAAGCTTGCCTATATATGAGAGAGCATGTGTGGAATGTGGATTCATAAATGAGAAAGGTTTATATAAGGTTTCAAGTTAATACTAAAGTAAGGTGCACCTCAAAAATCCTCTAAAATAGTGTTCCAATATTGGAAATCTTGACCTCTAAATGTATGGATATGAAGAAAAACATAAATTTTAAGTTCTAAAAATAATACATCTTATAATAAGTTATTTGGATCGTATATTTTCAAAATTTTCAAGTATTTATTGATTTGTTCAATTTATACCACTTTTGGAATTTGAAAATGTAAAGTAAATACAAAAATAGACTTTCGAGCCATCATAAGGTTCTGACATCGAAACTACATCTCCAAGAAAAATTTAGAAGTGCGCCTTACTTGTAAAATATATAAGGAATCTAGGATGTTCTCATGCTTGGAAGGGGATTATACGTGACTTAACACATTTGAAAGACAATGTACAGTGGAATATTAGTAATGGTGGATTTCTGGTTGGATCCATGGCTAACATGACAATTATTATCGGATTTGCATGGTACTGCCGTTCAGGAGGAACTGGGAAACTTTGTTCGGCTGAGGGTCGCTGACTTTATTGGTCGTCTACCTCAATCTTGAGATTTGCCTCCCCCCGCATCTGGCATGTGATTTTATTCGGCATCAAGGATCGTCACAACCTATATTTCGTACACTCTGGTCTTCTAAATGTCATCTACGGGCGAAATGGATTTCATAGCTGGCCTTGCATAA